TTTCCTGTGCCTCCAACATCTGTTCTTTCTGAAGTCAAAGATTTTTGTTTAAATCATTTCATAAAATATACAGTCATGTATCACTATTTGATTATCTTGCTGTGGTATAATAAAACATCATGTTTAGGCTACCTAAAATTGAAATTCTGGTTCTCAGGCCCGCACGCATCCGTTTTGAGGTAGCCTCATTGCTAATTTTATTGTATTGTTGATAAAATAAAAAGTTGTATTGCGGAGACCAATCCAGAAAAAAAAGTTCTGTTCTCATTTTTTCGTAGTTTAGTATTCAAATATCACTTCCGGTAGCCATTTTCAAAGAGATTTTGGCTACTTCGTTTGAAAATACATTCAAAGACATTGCCTAAGATGTTCACATGCTGATAAGCAATAGATAAAGCAAACCTTTTGATCAGACATGGAAGGTATATCTGTGATTAAAAAAATTCTCTTTATTGTAAAGAAAATTCAAAAATTAAAATTAAAAATATACCTCCCTCATCTACTTTATTGTCAATAAAATGATAAATAAAATGCCTCTCTCTCGCATCTGTTTTGGAGAAAATTGGTCTGAGAACCAGATCATTAAATTTAGATAACCTTAAATGAAAATTTTATGCCAATAAAGACTACAGTGAAACTTGTCACATACAAACTAAATTTAGGTCTTGGACTCAAAGAAAGAGAGGAAGAGAGACCTTTCTATGACTTACTGTGAGAGAAAGCCCTTTCTTCTGTTGTGGAGCTGCAGCTGCTGTGGGCTGGGACTGTGGGTGAGAATTCTGATTGGGTAGTTGCTGAACATTTGTTTGTAAGGCTGTCTGTGGTTGGTTGGTTTGTATTGACGTTTGTGTCCTGATCTGTGATTGGCCGAGCTGTTGCTCTAACTGTTGTTGGAGATTATCTCTGGCCTGTTGCTGTGTAGCAGTGACAGGGGAAACTGTAAAAGCAGAAAAAAAAACATTCAGTCTTCTCTTGAACAAACTTTGTGTGATGTAAATCTTTAGTTAATGAATGGTGAGGATGATTTTTTTCCCACTCTTAACTACAGTTAACTTTCTTTCAGAAGTCATAAGCCATCCAAGACATATTAACAGATTCAATACAAACCTCATTACCTTGACCTTTCAACTCGGACCTTCTACCAAGTTATCCAAAATCTATCCATATTTTTCAATGCTTCTATCTATACTTAATAATACTGTGAAATCACAAATTTTCATAGGGGGGGGGTAATTTTTGTTGTTTTTGAGGTGTGGAGAGACCGAAGAATTTGTGTCCACCACGAAATGTAAAGTGTTACAAACATATCTACTTGACAATTCTTCATCCACGAAATCAAATCCCCACGAGCCAAGAGTTTTTCCACAACCACGAAAATTTGACCTCAACAAAATATGTTACTTTAAAGTAGACTGACAAAGTGAAAGACAAATACTTTGAATATTGATGGGACACTCACCAAAAGAAGTGGGGGGTGTTGGAGCCGCCAGGCGTGAAGCAGCAGGAGGGACATAGGTAACAGTGGGGGTCGGGGTGGACAGGGAGACCGTCGTCACGCCCGGTAACGTGGTAGTGGAGGTGGACAGCTTCTGTAAAAAAAATTATAAACAGAAAAAAATATTAATCATGATTACTTAATGCACAGACTTTATCACAATCAACGATGATTTTCTTTATACACAATCTGATTAAAATCAGATCCTTTGATCCGCTCACATAGATTGCTACATAAGGATCTGAAGAAACCCCACTCAGGGTCATCTCCTGGTGACCTTTCTAATAAAAATATTCATTAAAATTTTGACAAATCAGAGAGATCGTATTTAAACGACGCTCAGGAAAATGAATGTAGAAGTGAAAGTTGCTGTGGAGATGATATTTATTGTTTCGTACCAAACAAAGAGCTAAAAACCAAGACAAAAGCAAGTACTTTTTATATTTCTGTACAGAAGAGACTGTAGTCGTCATGATTTTCCGTTCGTGTGTCATCGAGGTTTGTTGTCCTGTAACTGAATTCCGAGATACTTCTAAATTCTTGGAAGTAAACCTTTCATTGGATAATTGAGATGTCACCAGGAGATGACCCTGAATAGGGTTTCCTCAGATTCTTGTGTAGCGATCTATGTGAGCGGATCAAAAGATCTGATTTTAATCAGATTGCTTTATACAAAACATATCTCATCAATCAATGATGATCCCTCCAACACTGACTTGTATGGACTGTTTCATGAGAAAGAAAAAACTGATCATATGTGAAGCATAATGTGGAGTATAAGCAGCAGTGGTTGGGTTGGCCTGCCTTACAGAGGGGGCAGGAGACACCAGACCGGCAGCATAGTCTGGAGTATAAGAAGCAGTGGTTGTGTTGGTCTATATACTTACAGAGGGGGCAGGAGACACCAGACCTGCAGCATAGTCTGGAGTATAAGAAGCAGTGGTTGTGTTGGTCTATATACTTACAGAGGGGGCAGGAGACACTAGACCGGCAGCATAGTCTGGAGTATAAGAAGCAGTGGTTGTGTTGGTCTATATACTTACAGAGGGGGCAGGAGACACCAGACCTGCAGCATAGTCTGGAGTATAAGAAGCAGTGGTTGTGTTGGTCTATATACTTACAGAGGGGGCAGGTGACACCAGACCTGCAGCATAGTCTGGAGTATAAGAAGCAGTGGTTGTGTTGGTCTATATACTTACAGAGGGGGCAGGACACTAGACCTGCAGCATAGTCTGGAGTATAAGAAGCAGTGGTTGTGTTGGTCTATATACTTACAGAGGGGGCAGGAGACACTAGACCGGCAGCATAGTCTGGGGTATAAGAAGCAGTGGTTGTGTTGGTCTATATACTCACAGAGGGGGCAGGAGACACCAGACCTGCAGCATAGTCTGGAGTATAAGAAGCAGTGGTTGTGTTGGTCTATATACTTACAGAGGGGGCAGGAGACACTAGACCGGCAGCATAGTCTGGGGTATAAGAAGCAGTGGTTGTGTTGGTCTATATACTTACAGAGGGGGCAGGAGACACCAGACCTGCAGCATAGTCTGGAGTATAAGAAGCAGTGGTTGTGTTGGTCTATATACTTACAGAGGGGGCAGGAGACACTAGACCTGCAGCATAGTCTGGAGTATAAGAAGCAGTGGTTGTGTTGGTCTATATACTTACAGAGGGGGCAGGAGACACTAGACCGGCAGCATAGTCTGGGGTATAAGAAGCAGTGGTTGTGTTGGTCTATATACTCACAGAGGGGGCAGGAGACACCAGACCTGCAGCATAGTCTGGAGTATAAGAAGCAGTGGTTGTGTTGGTCTATATACTTACAGAGGGGGCAGGAGACACTAGACCGGCATGCATAGTCTGGGGTATAAGAAGCAGTGGTTGTGTTGGTCTATATACTTACAGAGGGGGCAGGAGACACTAGACCGGCAGCATAGTCTGGGGTATAAGAAGCAGTGGTTGGGTTGGTCCCTGCTGCTGCAGCTGCTTCCTTCTCCTTCTTCCTTTGTTCTATCTCTTCCATTTCTGAAATTCAGTAGATTTGCTAATCATTACTAGATGACTGTGAACTTAAAATAATTCAACTGAGAAATGTTTAAAATGATGCAAGAGGATTTTCTTTATAAAAGTTTAACTCCATTATTACATTAAAAATCCTGCTTAGTAAACAAAGGATAAAAATAGAAACATGCCGCAACGAATTACACATGTATGTGTTTTCGAATTCAAAGTTGCTAAGTACATTGTGTATTAAAGTTTTTAACTATGCAATAGCCTTCAATTTTTTAGGAATTATATTTATGTCAGACCATGGATATAACCTTGGATTCATACTGCAAAATAACATCAACATTACCTCATCCCGTACCCTGATCAGATGACAACTTAATCCCCTACTGACCTTGTATTTTCTTCCTTCTTTTTGCTTCCTTTGGACCCAGGGGTAGAGCTTCCAGCTCCAAAAGCTAAAATTTACAAAATAATAATTTAAATAAAGAGAAAAATATAATTTGTAAAGTATCTGAAAAGTAAAAGTATTAAAATATTCACCTGGAAACACAATTATTATGGATCTTTGAAGAAGTATGATAAAATCCTTACTGATGATTTAAAATGATAAAATCCTTACTGATGATTTAAAAAAAACAACAATACACTTGTTATTTCACATCGTTCTCACCCCCAGCACACATGCTAGCACTTTAACCTTTATTCCTCCTCCTTTATTAGAGAGTTCTTATATTAGCACTCTGACCTTTATTCCTCCCTCCTTTTTTAGAGAGTTCTGTCTGTGTCCTGCTAGGGGGTTTCCCTGCAGTGAGTTAGTCCGCCCTGGCACAGTTCCTGGGGATCGGAATCCTGCTGAGGGCGGGGTTCTCCCAGGGAGGCCCTTCAAGGGGGCTGAAATCAAACATCAACAAATCAACAGAAAATCATTTTAACTCTCAACTGAATATACTGAAAACATTAGAATTATGAATTCAAATTGTTCATGATTTTTCCTTTGAACAAAAATAATCCATAGCAAAGAAAATATGAAGATGTCAAGGAGTACCTGGAATAAGGGCAATATATTTACTGTATACTGGGAAAGAACTTTATTCGGTAATATCCAATATTTGCCCCCCAAATCAAACTTTGATGGAGATATATTTAATTAAGTTCTTAAACAGGGGAGTATATGCTGACTTCAAAGCACTTAATATTTTCAGAAGTAATGACGCCATATGTACGTAATGACGTCACAAACATGACGTAAATTTCAGTTTTCTATGAATTTTACAGAAAAATGTACATATTTCGTCGATATTTTGAGTAAAAGTCACCGAGCGCATGTGTGTTCAGGATCAATATTTTGATATAATGTGTAGAATGATAATATCAATGAAATATATCAATATTGTTCCTGAACAAACTTGCGCTCTATAAATTTTAAAGCTAAAATTGTTGAAATGTTGTCCATTTTGTCCTCTTTCTGAAAAAGGATATAAAATCGGACTAGTTTGTGACGTCATTAAAACAAAAATTGTGAATACACTGCTTTGACACTATAATATTTTCTGTTAATTTATATTTCTCATACAATTAATTGAATTCAGCACGTTTCAGGAAATTTTCAAAATTTGACTTTTGTGGGGGCAAATATATGCAATATATCGCATATAGTTCTTTTCGCCCCCGTTTAATTTTCGCCCCATTCGCCCTAGTCTGGCGTGGGCGAATTTAAAACGGGGCGAATTCAATGTAAACAGTATAATATCTTAAATCAAAATCTTTTTGGGCGAATTTAAAACGGGGCAAACTTGTTTTCAGATGTGAAAGGGTGAAAATTAGATGGGGCGAAAATAACCCTGTATACAGTAATCAAAATAAAAAATTCAATATTCTTTTCTCATTCTGCAATCCTTGCATCATTTGCAACATACATGTATGAATGTCATTATGCCAGTGCTTTTCAATTCCAGTATTTACATAATACTCTTACTAGGTTCAATGTGTGTTGATTCTTTTAATAGATACAACAAATTTGTATGATTATGCGTACCATGTACATGTAGATAGGGTGAATTTCAGAAAAAGAATATAAATGTTTTGCAAGAGACACTGCTCTTTCATTTTTTGATACACAATAATTGAGCAATGGATTAGTTGTGGAAGTGAGTTCTCTCCCTTTCCAGAGTACTTACTGGTGTCGTCCATCTTTTTGGCAAAGCTGCGGACTTTGTAGGGAACACTGTTAGGAGCATTGTTTTTTTTATTGTTGGCCACTTCCGAGGCTGTCAAAGGAAGAAAATAAAAACATTCTCTGTCTATGAATTCAACAACAAGGACATTATCTTAAACCATTTATCTGTGTTATTGAGATCGCTAGAACTTTTAGCTCAAGTGAGCTATTGTGATAAATTTTTAAATTCTTAGAAGTTTGCCTGATCATATTCACTCTTTTTTGCCTTTTAACCTACCATTATTTCAAATTTCTGATATCATTGCAGAGGTAGATAAATTTTGCATTTCAAAACAAAGAGACCTGACTGTATTTAGGGTCCTCACTCAGATTTCTGTAAAGTCTGGTCGCATTACTCAGGTTCCTAATTAGGCCAGACATTTTGGGAGATTACTTACATTTCTGTAAAAGTTCGGCTCTGAGGATGGCTGACTTGGGTTTCCGTTTCAGGGCGAAGTGTTTGACGGGCTGGGGGAGGGGTCCAGTGGTGGCTACTAGTGCCGTCTTATTCAGGAACTGGCATTCCATGGGTAGCATCCTCACTCCCGCACACTTCTTCACTGAAAAATCAAAGTACTAGAAGTATAAGTACTGCAACAAAAACAAACAAACAGTAAGTATAAACCTTGGTACTAGATGCAATTCTCTATTTACAGTTATTTTATGCAGCCACCTTATCAATTATCACAGTTTTATTCAGGTTTTGCATTGGAATAAGACTTCTCCACTTACCCACTTCACTGATAATTCTCCACTTACCCACTTTACTGATAATTCTCCACTTACCCACTTTACTGAGGTCTGTAAGAATTTCCATGAAGGTGGAGTTACTGTTATCAAGTTCTAAATTTAGACATCCTGTACTGGGGTAAGTCTGGAGGATTTCCGCGATGGTCGACACCCACTGATCTGTGTCATGTGTTGCTAATGCCAGAATATCCTCAAGGTCACCTTTCCACTAAAAAAAAAAAAATTTAGTCATAAGTAAAAGTAGTAAAATCTTAATGTAATTTTATCAAACTTAGATCTGGTGATCACTACTGTAGTGTATTGGAGTAGATCAGAGGATCCAGTTTCAAACATATTGGACCTAGAGAAATGTGTTATTCTAATGCAACTGTTTTGTGAAACGTATTTTGTTTGGAGAATGCACAGCACATGTTGGCATTTGAAGCAATACAATGATCATTAAGGACAGTGAAAGCTTTTGATTGTGTCGCAGTGTTTGAAACTCACAGTAAAATTAGTTAGACATGCAGGACTGACTGCTGGTGAAAGATGTCAGCCCTGCCAAAAATGTACCAGCCCGGAGAAATAATTGTCTTTTATAAGTTCATTTACTACCTGGCCATCAAGACAACATACACTGTTTTCAAATGCACCACTCTTGCTGTACACCAAAATTTTAAGATATGAGGCTTAACAACTCTTTTGTTTACTTAGTGTTTGGTTGTAACAATCACATCTCTTTTTTTCAAAATAAAAGCAAGCAAAAACCACTGAGAGAATGAAAAGAAACCACACACACGACTTCCATCACAACATAATTGGTTTTATTTCTTTATGAGAAACATTACAAAATTCTTAAAAGCTAAAATACAATCAGAATATTGAAAAACAACTTCAATGTTTACAATTTTTACCTGTTCTACGTTTCGCCTTGGGATGTGCAGAAACGACAGCATGAGTTTGACCTTCACATGCGGCTGTAAGGTGTGAAAACAAGCATGGATACTCTGTAACTTGTTCTGACTTAGTTGGGAACATATTGTCTTGCCTGACCAGAGATCGTCCGTAGATCCTAATTTATTGTGAAGCCATAGTGCAGTGTCGCCGGAAGCCATATTGAAAAGAAATTTTCAGCCAATCTTACGAAGTATGCGATTGGACAGAACGCGGGATGACGTAGTACTCCTGAGGGTTATACTAAAACCCGTAAAACACACGAATTCTTCTTATAATATAGAAATGAAAATTTGCTGTATTTAGATTTATATATTGTATTTTTATGTATTTTTTCTGTAATTGTTGCGAGAAAAAAAGGACCAAAACAGATAAAGAAAAACAGAAGAGAGTTGATGTGCAAGGTGACAAAAGGCATATTCAGTTCCCTATCCAGGTTTTCAAATAACTTGTCTGAAAAAAATTCAGTAATCTTTCCAAAATTGAGTTTGTTCAATTATCGTTTTATTTTCATTTTAGTCATGCATTACGTACACACATAGATAAAAACATTCTGTTTCATCGCTTATTTATTCATTACAAGGTATTTCCTAATATAGAATTTGTAAAGGTGTCAAACGCACCTGAATACCTGGGCATTTAAAATATGTAAACATGGATTACTTAACGTGCGATTCTTGTGAGAATCTATTTGTTGATCCACTAGAATTGGACTGTTTACACACTTTCTGTAAGAAATGTATCGACCAGGAAATGATAGATACAGAAAACAATGCAGTGAGGTGTCGTTTATGTGCAATGGAAACGACACCAGGAAATATTCAGGTAAACCGACTAATCGCCCTTGCCCTGCAGGCAAAAAACGCAGGCCAAAATAACCACCACAAAGATGAAAATACCATAAATGAATTTCAAATGCAAGCAAACGATTTAAGGGCTAATGTTTTAGGAAAGCCCGACTCACGAGAAATCGTCTCTCAGAAAAGAGAAGATTTACGACAAAGCATAACCGAGTTCTACTGTAAATTTATTGAGGATATGACTATTTACCTGAAAGAGCAAAGTGCTGACATTCTTTCTGAATTAGATTCAATATTTGAAAAATACGAATACGAGAGTATCATGAAAGAGAAAAGAAAGCAGATGCTTGCAGAAGAAATAGAGACGTTATTCAAAATATTCAGCAATGTTTATACCGACAAAACACAATTATTCATGGGAGATCTTGTACACGAGATGAGTTCCTACTTTGGAAAATGTCGAAGCTTGCTAGATACGATTGGGAGCGTAGCGTGCAATGTTAACTTTCTGTCAGGCATTGAACAGAAAGATCTTGTTCTAGCGACCAATTTTGGTGCTTTAGTTGATCAAACAGTACGCGATGAAACAAATAATCCCCAAGTTGATGACTGCACTGAAAATACCCCTACAAATGATCTCTCCGAGCCCAATACGTTGGAGCCGGATATCTCCGATGAAAGGTCATATGATGATGCCACAAACAATGCCACAGAAGCACACCCTCAGTCAGGGTCAGATTTAACCACAAATCATGACGAGGGGATAGAAAATGAAAGTCAGACAGTCACAATAGGAATCGAGAATTCGACAAATTCTGCTGATCACGCAATAGAATCTCAACCACTGTCACCTCCAACAAATGATATTAACTCTATGACAGTTTCCCCTACCGACCCTCAGTTCACGAATTCGTCTTCTAATAATGCAGAGGAGGATCCTCCCGAGGAACCCCCTCCCCCCTACTGGATGGCTATTGGAGAGAACGAACCAAGTGAACAGTTTTCATTTTTATCGACACCAGGGGGCAGAAATAGGAATCCCAGGAGGTCACCTCGACTGTCGGACTCATTTTCCTCCAACGTGTCATCTTCAAGTAGATCGGGTCGAGGAACAAATATTCCTCAGAGAGGTAGTTTTAATCAACACACAGTTCATACTTCCAACCCTCTGCAGTATGCTACTCACGCGTTGTCAATTCGAACACATCAACCCGACGATGTAAGAACTGGCCCAATAGTTGCCATTGCATGGATGCAAGATAAACTGATGTTGGTTGATCGTTTCAACAGTAAGCTCAAAATGTATTTGGAAACTGGCGAATTTCTCCACAGCTTAAAATTCATGGATGGCGAACCATGGGACGTTTGCGCCATGAATGTGGTTGAAATGTTGAACAATCCAATGACGTGTGGTATAACTATTCCCAGAAAAAGAATGGTTATGCTAATTCAAATACTAGATGGAAGAACAATGCTGATTAGCCATCGTTTTGCTACAAGAAATGGATACGCCTGTCTTGCTTACGATCAAAGGAATGGAGCACTAGTATGTGGAGTTTCTTCCCCGTTTGGGACCCCAGGTATTGACGTCATAAACACTTCTGGCGTCCTTCTAGCTCACTTTCCGTTACCGCGACAAGTTTTGGTGCGATCAATCGACGTTTCAATTAAAGATGCTATTATAATCTGTGACTGGAGAAAAAACAATGTCATATTCCTAAATAAAAGCGGCGCTGTCATTGGCCAGTATAGCGGGTCGTCAGAGCCCGTTGGAACATGCACTGATGGTCGTGGGTTCTTGCTGGTCGCCGATTCCAAATCCAATGCCATCGACATCTTGACAATGGAAGGGAAGTTTTTCGGCAAGGTGAAATCAAGCTGTCCAATTATACGACCAAAAGAAATAAACGTTCGTCCTGACGGGCCCCCAAGGCTGGCTTTGTCACATGGGTCGATGTTTGTGGAGGTGTTCGATTTGTTTGAAAGTGAAACCTCCCTCCCAACCATTCCTACGGCTCCGCCACCACCGCAGTGATTAACAAAATTGATCGGAGAGTTTGTATCAATGTTTTGGACTGAAGCATAAAAGTAATTCTTGTCACAGTATTAGTATAAGATACTGATAATGTAAGAAAAAAATATATAGAAAAATAGAAAGAAAATATTTCGTATGTATGACGGAATAACGGAAAGGTGAAACACAATAGCTATAATAATATGATTAATAATGATATAAAGAAATTCATGTTAAAAGAAACATAATAATTATTTTTTTAACAAAACATTATCATGAGCTTGTAAAGAGCAGCATAGCGGTTAGTTAATTAATAATCATGGTATTTATTTTATTCATTTGTACATTTACCCCAATGGCAGCATCCTCGCAATGCCAGGGGTATTGAGTCAACGTGTCTTTAATAGATCAAAATGGTCTGAAAAACAGCCACAACCCCAAAGGCTATGCTCAAGAAGCAAAGTTTTGCGTGGCGCAGTGGATGGAGCCTTTGTAGCGTTTGCTCTAAAGTCATGTAGTTCGAGTTAATTACTCAACAGCATTTAAGGATGAAAACTATATACATTCTGGCATATTGTAATGCACATATCTTAGAATCACATGTATAGACGGGTAATTTGTTTTCTTTGAATACGTCAAGTAACTTTTTGTATACTAGTATTATTGATATCTGTGTAATAATTATGCATTGCACAAGATGTTTTAAACTTACACTGTCTTTCTTATACATCTATTTTTACAAACGGATTGAGGTTATAGTATAATGGAATGTCACGTCACAAGTTATTTGATAAAAGTTGAATCTTGCGCAGTTATTCTTCGTTTGTGCTGTAAGGGTGTGTGTGTGGGGGGGGGGGGGGGGGGCTAGGACTGAAACTAACATACTTGATTCCTGGGCACGATACATCTGGGTCTCTGTAAGATGTTTATGACGTTAAAGTCAAGTGATACTCACTGAAATGGCCCCTGGAAATTTGATCAACACCTAGCTGTCATAGTCCCTGTCATTTTGACCCAGGAAAACTCTTACCGCTAAACATCTCTGTACAAGAATTAGATTATAAAATGCTAAAATTGATACTATCTTAGATTGGTTTCCTTCTATCAGTCTCTGAACTTGACCTTCTGACCTCAAATGAATAAATCAACCTAGTTTTGCGAGTGATATTTATTTGTTGCTTGTCTTTTTTGTTTCAGATATTATGTTATAACCTGGCATTTAAGCTGAACACGATTCGTAAAAAAAATTTGGCTGCCATATTTGATTTACCTCTTGCTATATCTGGGTCCCCTGTATATAAAACCGTTCACTTAGTCACTGTTCAGTGAAATCAATCGTCACTGGTGCATAGACGGACCTATGCTATATGACACTTGGTAGCAGCAAACAAACACAACAGTTTTATACTGTGTTCCTCTTATGACGCAAGTTCAGGTAAGATACATGTACCAAAGACACTAACAACTGTTGCAAAGGTCGGTGCTGTATTCAAACAAAAACAAATATATCTATAACTGCAATGAAATGTAAACAAAAGATATTGTAAGATAACCACTTTATGTATTCTTTTGCAGTAAGATACCTTATCATGTGCATACCGGGTACATACCGGTATCTCTCACTTGATTTGATACGCTTTAGCATGCTCTACTTATGGGATCGATACAATTACCTTGTCCGCTCACTCCTCCATGGTACCTGAGCCCACCTCAGATGACCTAGATATTCGTGATTCTCTTTAACATTTAAACTTCAGTACTATAATTCAATATCTCAATAAATGTTTGGTTCTTCCCTGTATTATAGGGTCTGTCTTTGTATCCATATGAAACAGAATTAATTCTGTATTATACCTATACATGAGAAGATTAAGAAAAACTTGCTTAGTGGCCTTCAACTGGTCACTTAGATATTACACTGTACCCGGTATATCGATAATCAATGGTTTATTATGAATTGGAATTAGTTATTTCCAATCACATATATCTACAAGATACACCCGAATGGGCTTGAAATAAAATTTACCACCGAGTGTGACACATCTACTAGTATGTCATATATATGTATATAGATATTCCCTAGATAATGACAACATCAAAGCCTTATGATAAACTTAACGCCTCTTTTATGGAGCAATATACCCTTATGAAGTGTATACTGGCTATATATCTCTAAGTTGATTTGACAACCATGAGCATGTTCCACTTACGGTCCATTTCTGAAACGAGATAAGTTACTGACAAACAAGTTGATGATACAAAAATATTTACACTAATGTTTAAAGCCATAATCATTTTGATTATTCCTTGCTCTATCCAGAATCTTTGCTGAGATGTGACACTACTGAGAATACCTGTCTATACCCAGATACATGTGATAATCTGCATTTCTGTATCAATAGCTTATAACACAGGGGCTTGACGTTTTTATACATGTATAAATAACCTTTCTTTTTCATAAATAAAAATATCCCCTTTACCATAATTAAACTATTGGGGATATATTTTTATTTATGAAAATAAAAGTTAAAATCGTCAAGCGCCTGTGACTTATCTGATAATTATAGCTCACAACTTATCAGTGGCACATTGCTATTATAGTTCTCACCAATATTGAATTTGTACATTTCGATACAAGTCTCACAAGATTTCATAATGCAGGAAATAAAAAAAAAATAACTCGACAGTTGGATTTCACCAGAAACTTAATACAAAGGAACAGTAAAAGCGATATTGGGTAGTGCCATAAGTATTGTACATGTACTATTGATATGATGTGAGTTAGAAATTTTATTTGTTTCGCATGTATCGAAAATCGACCCATGAATACCACCCATGGTACGTCAAAAATATTGTGAAAAATATCTGGAAAGTGTACGTCACTTATTTCGAATAAAAGGGACGGGAATAGATCTTTAAAATAATTGAAGTTACTATCAGTGAGAATTATTAATTATTTCAATAGATGTCTTTCCTGTTATGCAAGAAAATAGATCGTTTTTAATTCTTTTAAAATATGTTATTAAGTTATAAAAAGAACTACTTTTAAAAATAATGGTATGTACATGGCGTAATATGATGTTTGTATACAGTATTTGAAATAAAGATAGCACATAGTAATAGATTCTACACGTATACAGAACAAAAAGTGTTTTCCTATGTAAATATTGAATTTCAATTAACACGGGATAAGGGTTTGTAAAGTCTGTAAAATATTGGAACATGTTGTGAAATTCAATGGCTCTGCATTTCTCGACGCCTTTCGATTATTTGTTCAGATAGAATTCAAGATGTACTAAGCATAAATTTAAATAATGCATTTTGATATATAATCGGAATTTATTCTGATAATTTATTTTCTTTATAGAGAATTAAGAATTAGTTTCTAATGATTAAATTTTTAATTTAATATTAAAAAATAAATTTGTCTTACCGGTTTAGAAATCAAATCATATTTGTATAATTTCTGACAATAGACTGTTATAATAAATTTTGAAAATAATGACTACAAACAGAATTACTTTTATTTAGCTTCCCATCGTCATTTTCGACACTTTATCTTCTTTATATTCGATAATCGTCTGTAAATGATTCATGTCTATAAAATGATTCCATTCACAATATAATGTTCTGTTTCAACAATTTTTAAAGTGCAGGTTCCTCACAAAGAAGAATGTAAAAGGGCTTTTAGCATTATCGTTAAGGGTAGGTATTTCGTACATTCTAGGGACATCATTCTGACCTTGATTCCAAAAGCAAAATATAGTTGGTTTGTTTTTAACTTACAGTGCATACAATATCAAAAATAGTTGTTAGTGATTGTAAAATACTAGTAAACAAGACAACAATACTGTTCACTCTATTTACATGTCAGATCAATAAGTAGGCTATTCAACGTTTGTGATTGATTGACAGGGTATGTTTACTCCTGTAAGGTACTTGATCCCTTACTGTTTTTCCATTCTCCATTCTCCTTCCTCAAATTATCTCGACTGAAGAATTTATAACGAAACATATGGAGATAACGAACAATATTCAAGATAAAAAAATCCAAAAGCAAACGCGGACCTCCAAAACATCAGGGGCCCGTTTCAACAAAGGTCGTAGATTTAAGCCTTAGCTTAGGTGTACTTCCGGGACTTACGCCAAAATATACTCAGGCGTAATTTGCGTTTCACCAAGTGGCGTAAGTCTAGTCGTAAACAATACGCTTAGTCGCAGGACTAAGTCCTTGACAACGTTGCATTGCGCAGGCGCAAAAAATATAAACATTGTCCACTGCCGACAAACATGTATATAATTTTAGCACGTAAAAGAATAGAATAACACAAATTATAGAATAATAAATACTTGCACTGATTGAAACATGCATGGATTTATAGGGTCATGTAGGATACATGTACTTTATACATGTTATAAGAAATCGATTCTAGGTTTTTACAATTTTTCAATAACAAAAGTCTTATAAATTGAAAGTTAAAAAAAGATCGTACATGTATTTCAGAATTTTATTAAAAACTAACCTGTTTTTTTTTTTTTTTTTTTTTTTGAATTTTAATTATATACAGCACCCCCCCCCTCCCTCTTCCCGAAATTTTATACAGGTTAATGACTTTGCCTTTGATAATCATGTCATGATTCGATAATTACTGAATCTACTGATAAACTACTAATAAGTTTAAGACAGAATACGATTTTAAAACATAATTTTCATAAGATATGTATACTTAATTGAAAGCAAAAATAATGTATAAAAAATGCAGTTTACATAAATTTATTATGTTCATAAGTGCACATTTTGAGTCAAGAAATAAATTTTACACGTTTACTTCTAAGGTACATGTAAGACAATCCTTTCTAAGTCTATTAATTTTTTGTCAAATGATTCATTATAATTTCTTATTGACTATTAAAATGGCACAAAGGTTCATGAAATAATTTCGAAATACCGTATAGCAGGTTATTTTAGCGGGTTGCTAATTTTGGCTTATTTAGGTGTTTTGATGGCAGCCCGCTAAAAT